CCCAGGTCAGACTGCCCGCACAGGGACCGAGTCCCGAGCCCTGGCTCAGGAGCGGCCGCGCTCACCGTGTAGGACGGGGTCCGCTGCTTGGAGGAGGTGTCGTAGGAGTCCTTCCCGATGTCGAACTTGTACGACGGCAGGAAGTGGATGTCTGCCTCCTGGAAGCCCTTGAAGATGGACCCTGGGGCGGGCACAGGCCTGGCTCAGACCTGGCAGGGAGCTCCGGCTCGCTCTCTGCAGGCCTCCCCCTCCTGGTCACCAACCCCTCCCCCGCTCCGTCCTCCCCCTCCTGGTCACCATCCCCCCCCTGCTCCAGGCGCCCCCTCTCCTGGCCATCACCCCCTCCCCCGCTCCATCCTCCCCCTCCTGGTCACCAACCCCTCCCCCGCTCCGTCCTCCCCCTCCTGGTCACCATCCCCCCCCTGCTCCAGGCGCCCCCTCTCCTGGCCATCACCCCCTCCCCCGCTCCATCCTCCCCCTCCTGGTCACCAACCCCTCCCCCGCTCCGTCCTCCCCCTCCTGGTCACCATCCCCCCCCTGCTCCAGGCGCCCCCTCTCCTGGCCATCACCCCCTCCCCCGCTCCATCCTCCCCCTCCTGGTCACCAACCCCTCCCCCGCTCCGTCCTCCCCCTCCTGGTCACCATCCCCCCCCTGCTCCAGGCGCCCCCTCTCCTGGCCATCACCCCCTCCCCCGCTCCATCCTCCCCCTCCTGGTCACCAACCCCTCCCCCGCTCCGTCCTCCCCCTCCTGGTCACCATCCCCCCCCTGCTCCAGGCGCCCCCTCTCCTGGCCATCACCCCCTCCCCCGCTCCATCCTCCCCCTCCTGGTCACCAACCCCTCCCCCGCTCCGTCCTCCCCCTCCTGGTCACCATCCCCCCCCTGCTCCAGGCGCCCCCTCTCCTGGCCATCACCCCCTCCCCCGCTCCGGCCTCACCTCTCTGCATCTCCCGGGCAAGCTGGTCGAGCTGCAGCAGGGCGGGCACGCGGGCTCCCGGGTCCTGCCTCAGGATGGCCTCCACGGACACACGCCCGCCGCTCAGGCGGAAGTTGAAGTCGCCAAACCAGAAGACCCCGTCGAAGCGGGTGGTGACGTCCGCTGGGCACAGGCCAGAAAGCGCATGAGCCCAGCCTTCCCCACGCAGGAGCCGCGGTGTCCCCTGCCCCCATCTGCCTCCATCAACTCCCCAGAGCACAGGGCGGAGGCGCCTGCTGGGCAGGGAGCACCTGTGAGCACCGTGGGGCCCGCTCACCTGCGTCCGAGCGGTAGGAGCAGGTGTCCGGCACGTTCTTGGGCAGCGCAAGGCCCTGGATGGTCTTGCTGTAGTCCAGCAGCCTCTCGCTGACCTTCCCGTCTCCGGCTGCGGGGATGGGGGGGAGGGGGGAGCCCCGAGGGGCAGGTCTGGCTCAGGGCTGGACACGGGTCAGTGAGGGTGGAGACCCCGCAGCAGCAGGGCCCGCAGTGAAGCCCCCGCAGGAGGTGGCACCGTCAGGGTCGGGGCAGTCACTGTCCCCACACGACCCCTGGGGTCGGGGCAGGTGACTCACAGGTGAAGTGGGACGTGATGAAGAGGAAGGAGGTGCCGAAGAAGGTGAAGCCGACACCCAGGGCCCCCTTGGTCTTGATCTGGGACACGATGCGTGTGGTCACGGTGGAGCTCTCCACCTCTGCGGGAGGGAGCAGAGCTGAGGGCCGCCGCGGCCCGAGGGCCCCGCGCCCCGCGGAGTGTGTCCCCGACGGGTGGGCGAGGGCGGGGGCCGGCGGCGGGGCGGGCGCTACCTGAGCAGAACCAGATGAGGTCCCTGCGGATGAGCACGGACAGGTGCAGCGCCCCGTGGGCCGCCGAGTGCAGCATCACGTAGTGCGGGCCCAGCGTCTCCTGCAGGCGCGTCTCCCACTCCCGCCTGGGGGGACAGCGGCGCCCTGGGCAGCGGACCAGGCTCCTGGCTCCACACCCCAGGGCGCGGAAGGAGGGGCCGGAGGGGCCCTGCGGTCTGGCCTCCTTGTCTTGCAAGGAGAACGGGGGACATGAGCCGTACAAGGGGTTTGCTGGGCCAGAGACGGGGGCTCCCCGGACATCGCGGAGCTGTCACCCCGCTGCCTCTCAAGGATCCAGGGATGTGGGCCGGGTCCCAGCGCTGCTAAGACTTGAGCAGAGTTCCAGGCCCACCCGGCGGGCCAGGGAGAAGGCCAGGCCGGCGGGAGGGAGGCCA